GCTGAAGAGATGTTGAGATGCTTTTGAGATGTAGGCCTTTGGCCAACAATGATGTTATATTGAGATGTTGTTATTTGTGGTGTTGTTATTACATTCATGATTGTGTCGCATATATTGCATTTGAGATGGAGCTTATGCTCGTTAAGATGGCATGTATTGACGAATATTGAGATGAAGGCTTATGCCTTGTTGATGCCTCTATTAATTGGCAAAATTTTGAGATGGGAGTTCTGCTCCAAATGGTACCACATGCATTTTCATAATATTGAGTCACATTATATGACTGCATAAAGAAGTGTGTATTGATGTTGTGAATGTGTATTATTGTTGTGATTATTGTTGATTATGAGATGAGAAGTGGTGATGTTATGTGATCTAATTTAATATATTAATTATCATGCGCTTTATTATATTATTAGATATATCACCCCTTATGTTTGAATGTTGCCCTTATGTTGGTAACGTGCAGGTAATCGAGAGTGAAGGCTGTATAGCTTCAATAGTTTGAGTCGGTGTCATTGCTTTGATATGTAACACTCGAGGGGATGAACGCTTGTTTCTTTTGATTGTTGATTATTCAGTTGTTGAACTTTAAGTTGATTATTATTAAGTATTTGTTGGTTTGAAGTTGCTGTAATGATGATAAAGATGTTATTAAGAATTCCGCTGTGTAGATGTTGAATTATTTAACTAAAGATGTTATGATGATTGTTCATCCGATGTTTTAAAAGTGTTATATATCCACGATGAATGCAATGTGTTTTGAAAGAAGAATTTGTGGAATCCCGATTTGTTTGCATGAATGATTTTATAACTTTGATTTATTTATATAATTCGCCAGGGTAGAATTGGGGTGTTACACATGTTACCCATGTAGATGCAACATTCAAGCAGAAAAGGTGAGTTTATCACAATCATTATACAAGATGTAAGTAATAGACATAGCAGAGTAAGTCAAAAGTATCACAATAATCAATTCATCAATATCATCTTCCAAGTTCAAAAACACAACACAATATCACCAAAATCAAGAACCATGCAATGCCACATAAGATGTAGTGCAAGGACAATACTCATGTATGTGGTACCAAATCACTTGATGGACACTAGGCCATCACCCTCCAAAGACCCCAATCGTAGGATCGATTCCTTCTTGGAACTGGAGCAAAATCATAGACATCCCAAATCCATACAATGAGATTGATACTAAATCACTAGACCAATGTCCTAACTCATTAAAACAGATCAAAGTTATCCAATTAATGCATGATGCGCAACAACAACATAAACAACCATAACCAGTCATATGTATCATCATTCATGTATCAATCAACATCATACATAAAACATCATCATATATACTCATATAATCAAAACATCATCATAACATCATTATATCATCATAGTAACAATATATCATCATAATCAAACAAATCATCATTGCGATTCAACACGGGGAGTCTATTCCTATTCTAACTTAGGTCTTGTAAAAATATTTCTAAGTCTCTATTTTATCTCACTAAATTAAGGTTTATTACGTTAGCTACACACTGCTTCGAACGACGCATCAATCAGACTCCTGGAACTCAAGTTATGGCATTTTAAAGAAAATTAGACAGCCCTTCAATTCTGCCGCCCGACGCCCGACGCCACCTTAGCGTTGCCCACAACACTTCTCCTCCTACGATTTTCCACCATTGGAGGTCTTCCAGAACTCTAAATTCGATTCCGTACAAGTCTCGGTTTCATAATTCGAAATTCTATGATTATACAACATTCTTAACATACTATAACACTTATTTAAAGGTCCTAACATCACACATTCATCAAGGATTCATTCATTCATTCATTCAACACATGGTTTTTCCCTAATTTCGTCAATCTTCATTCCAAAATCATCACACAAAGACAATCTTACAATTATCTAGACCTTATATCAAACATAATAATCAGATAAAACCCCTTACCTTATTGTTTCCAATGATTGATTCTATTCTTCATGCCTCCACGACCTTTTAAACTCAGCAAGAGGCAATTCCCTATTATCGTCTTCTACGCGATGACAATTAACAAATCATAGGGTCAATCTTTGGATTGGATGGACCTTTACATTCCTCGAGACGTTTTTACTCATAGATAAATCTATGTCGCACTCTCAAGAATTACGAGCAAGAAAGGAATTAAAATTTTGGTTCAGGATGAAAACAAAATTGCCAAATCTACTACATCGAAGGTAGTATACAAGGAATTTTTAAAAAACATATGATTGGGGCTTTATCTTAATTTGCATTTAATATTTCATATTTGTATGGGTATTATCTGCTATTTTTTATTAGGCTTCAATATGGGATGCCGTGACAAAGTTATTTTGTTATGTTGTAACAATGCAGTATTTTGCAACTCAGTACAAATTGATGCAATTTTCTGGTAATGCAACATGCAAGTTGGACAAAATGGTGTTATATAGTTAAACTAAACAAACTGTAAACTGATACAAATTAAAGCCGCGCATAACTATCCTTATACACGTGACAGGTTTTATTTGGGTCGGTAACATCCAATCGGAATCTTATTGCATCACCTCCTTTAAACTGGTTCGCAATACAAAATTCATCCCACTTATAACTTAAGTTTGTATGGTTTTGATCTTCTGGGTTCATAATTGACATTGTTTCACTGGTTCTGTTGTCCTCGCAAAGTGCCAAATACTTGTAGTTGTAGTCTCACAATAAGATAGAAAATTCAGGCTGCAATTCCTACATGCATAATATTTAATTTGTTCAGTACAACATTACCGTCTCAACATAGGTGGTAACCGATTACTTGAAATAGTATTAAATACTCAACTATTTTTCGATATGCTACATTGAGTGGTGTCAACTTGACATCAAAAACATATATCCCTTTTTGGTTTATAAGCCTACTGTTAATCTCATTAAAAGTTGCAACCTCAAACATGTTCTGCCCGTAGTATGCCACAACGACCATGACATCGTCGGGTAGGATGTAATGCTTCTGGAGCTCCTTCCAACCTGAGAGTATCACCAGATGATCCTCATTTAGATTATAGTCCAACCGATGGCTTATAACTTCATTGTCATCAAATTTCCATGTGCTCTCTAGATCTGCACTATGCGTTCTAGCAAACGATTACTCAATCTCGGCGTACGACTACAAATCCAGTCAAAGTTTGATCTTTAGACATACAAGGAATATATATTTGGTTACATAGCATCCTCAACCTTATATGGACAGAACAAGTTTGCAATGGAAGGACAATTTTGCAATTGCAAACGTATCTACCAAGTGTTTATGAACTTGTGTTGCATGATTCTCCATGATAGTTGAAACCTCCCCTTGTCGTAATGACAACAGGAATTTCTTTAACAAGTTGAACCACAAGAGTATGAACTGGATCTACACATTTGCTCATTAAATAAGCACATCCACAATTATTACTCATGGACAATATTTCTTCACAAGCCAAAAGTATACCTCCCATCACTTTATATCTCACTTTGACCCAATGCAAGTATGCCTCCCATCACTTTATATCTCACTTTGACCCAATGCAAGTTTTGTTGTCTTTATGCTACTTGCCTTTATTGTTGTCTACCAAACAAACCATGGCCCTGTTAGACATTATTGCTTAAAGGGGAATATGTGGATTTTATAAAACAACAATGATGTTACGACAAAAACATGCGGGGCAATTATGCGTAAATCATTCATATTTTGGAACACTCATATTTTGGTGCAGTGACATTACAATAGTTTATAGTTTTTGGATTCTGCCTCATAACTATACTTTACAGGTGTATTTTCAACAACCTGTTTCAACTGTAATAAATCAACAATAATACTGCATTTGGAATTTAAAGTTTTAAACATACATTACTTCATTAATATTACACAATACCACAGTTAATAACATTTCACAGAAAGGAAACTTGAAATATTTAGGCCAACATTTGCCTTACAATGTTATCCAAACCAGCTATTCAGTACTACATAATACATGCATTTCAAGATTCCTAAAGCTAAATATTACATGGTTACAAAAACTTCATCAGTTGTTAGAACTTCAACAACAACTTTCCAAAAAAAGACCCTTCAATTTCATACTAAACTTTGATTTCCTCCAGCTACAACTTCCTAAACATTCAATCTTCTTCAACGATGCCAGATGCAGGCTCCACACGAATGATAATTTCCTCCACCGGAGGATATCTAACGCAGAACCACACAACATCCCCCGCTTGTAAATGCCTTCCTTTGCCAAACTCGTACCATCCCTTCGTGAGGTATGTCTCAATCGTCTCATCCCCTTCCATTTCAAAACACAATTACAGGGTTCACCACGTTGCTTATCACACAACATTATAGACATGAGCGGTTTCACAAAAATAATTCTTGACCACACGAGCAGGAATTTGCTTCACAAATGATAAATTATGCGCACACAATAATTATTCTAACAAGTTCACTAATCTCCAATGTGTTTTATGTTTAACTTACAGCACATTTGTACAAAAAACCTGGGGCACGTCTACACCCTTTGACATAGCTCTTTCTTTATCAGTTCTACTTAACAACCCATGGTTTTACATTTTTTTTGCCCAACAATTTGCATTCCTTATATTTACTTTCATTCATTTTTTAAGTCCTCTACCCATTTTGCAAAGTGTTTTCTTCTCACTCTTATTTTCTTAATTTATATTATGTGTTTTAACTTCAAATAATTTCATATAAAATTTTTTTTATCAATTTATTTTGTATATCTTATTTTGTATATTTCCCACTAGTTTGTAATAAAATTTAGTGAGTGGCCAATTTTAACCGGGCCTTGGGCCTTAGTCCAAAAGAAAAACTGCGCGGCCCAAATAAGTCTCGTTACAACCCTAATATTCATTCCAAAACCCTAAACCCCAAAAGTTCCTCTTCTCTGTCTCAAACAACATTTGCTCTATCTTTCACAATCTCACCACCGTAAACAAACGATGAGACCTCCAAGAGGTGGTGGCCGAAGTGGTGGTTTCAGAGGCGGTCGTGATGGAGGATTTAGAGGAGGCCGTGACGGGGGATTTCGTGGTAGAAGTGGCGGTCGTTTCAGTGGTGGACGTGGCTTTCGTGATGAAGGACCTCCTTCTGAAGTTGTAGGTAAGAAATGTTTTAAGCCTTCGTCTAAAAGCTTTTATTTTGTTATGTAATTTTTTTTTGGGTGTGTTGAATCCAGAGAATGGTCTATGTTTATCTGAGTTGTTTTTGTTTTTGGTGTATGCAGAGGTCTCAACCTTTATCCATGCTTGCGAAGGAGATGCTGTCACTAAACTTACCAATGAGAAAATCCCATATTTCAATGCTCCCATTTATCTTCAAAACATGACTCAGATTGGAAAAGTTGATGAAATATTTGGTCCTATTAATGAATCTGTGAGTTTCTATCTTATTTTAAGATTTGAGGTTAATGTCTTAAGTTAACTATACACTAATATGATTTTTCTGCACTAATATGATTTTTGTCTTCTAATGTGATTTTGTGCTAATTTTTGTGTCTAGTACTTTTCAATCAAGATGATGGAGGGGATAGTTGCTACTTCTTACTCTGCTGGTGATAAGTTTTACATTGACCCAAGTAAACTCTTGCCTCTTGCAAGATTTCTTCCTCAACCTAAGTATGTTCTCTCAATGTCTTAATATTAAGTTCTTTATGTCTTAAAATTAAGTTGTATAACTTCCATTTAAGTTCTAACCCTTAATCTATAGTTTTATTGCTACACTAGTATTGCATATGTTTGCTTGCTATATTGTGTTTTAACTTTGCAAGAAAGTTCTTTATATTTCATGTGTTGTAGTTGTCTTTGCTATCTAAATGCATCATCTATTCTTCAAATTTTAATATATGTTTGTTATTTGTTACAAGGTGTTTCAATTCTTTCTAAGCATGTTGTGTTTATGTTATAATCATAAGTTTTTTTTTATGGAAAATGGATGAGTATATGACCTTTTGAATGATTTTATCTGTTATGGTTATATATTTTTTACTCGAGTTCTCAGTAGTATGGTTGTTGAGATCCATGTTATTCCTCCCTTAGTCCATGCTAATAATGCCTTGTTGTGAGTCTGAGTGGGTGTTGAGGATATCACATTGACCTGAGAACTGTCTAGTATGACAGTACTTAGGTTATATTCATAGTTGTTGTAAGACTTCCAAGAATGGTTTTTGTTTTTGAAAGTTTGAATTCTAGATCCAAACTTCAATTGAAATGTTTTGTTTGAGAAGTTTTTAATATATATTGTCTATATTTGTTGCATTCTTTTTAATGAAACATCTCATCTTTGACACTCTGTATTTTAGTCTGTGGTTCCTTTTAGAAGAAAAAGGTGGGGAAAATGAAGCATTTCCTTTTAAGCTTTTAGATTATGATAGGAGAGATGTATGGTTACTGAGATATGATGAAGACATTTAGTTTTGGTCCCAGCTATATATTTAGACATGCTATAATATAAATAACTTACACTGTCCCAACATTATGTTGCAAGTCTTATATCATTCTACCTTTAACTGCGTCAATGTTGTTATGAAGTTGTGTCGTTGAGTGGAACTAATTGTTGTTTTGGTGTTTGAAGGTATAAAGTGGTTTGAAGCAATTTAGATTAACATGACTGATTGATTGTTACATTGATTATTGAAGTAGTTTGAAGCATTCATGTTAACATTATTGATTACTATTGTAGGGGACAAGCATCTGGTGGTAGAGGTGGAGGAAGAGGCGGAGGAGGTCGTGGTTTTGGTAGAGGACCTGGCCGTGGAAGTTTTCGTGGGAGGGGTCCACCAAGGGGAAGAGGTCCTCCTAGAGGACGTGGTGCTCCTTTCCGGGGAAGGGGTAGATACTAAGAGAATCTCCATTTTATGTAATTTTTGTTTTTGCTTCAATCATTTTGTTTGGATAGTGTTTCAATTTGAATTGATGTTGAATTTCTATTTATTTTCTTATGTATTGTAGGGTTCAATTTGATCTTGGTCTGTTAACTTAGTAAGTGTGATGATACTCACATTAATTCTTACCTATTTCAGTTCCGATATCTCAATATAACGTTGTAGTCTGATAGTGGTGCAAGAAAATATATGTTCTTCATTTTCCAAATGCGGTTTATTTTGGCATATTCATGTTAAACTAATGCATGTTAAGAGTTTTTTATGGCTTATTTTGGCATATTCACAATAACTTTCTTTTGGTCCTTACAGTTGCTCTTACATGGTTTGCTCTTATACATATAGGTTTAAATGCATGTAGCTAACTCAGTTAGCAAATGGAATATTAACTCAACAAAAACTTTTTGACCGAGACTAAAAGCTCTATTTTATTTTAAGCAACAAGTTCTCATGCTTCCCAACCCACCCATAAGGACAGTAGCCCTTGCCACACGGTTAACTCCTAGACTGAAGGCTCCCCCATTCGAATATCACATTCATGAGTTTTGCACAAGTCTTTCACATCTTTGAACCCCTTGGTCATGTAGTTTTTTAGCTCATCGTTCACTTTCAGCCCAAGACCCCACATTACCAAAACCCTAAAAAACAACATACAAAATGAGATCAAAATGCTAAAACCAAAAACTTCATTGCTTGTACTTCCTTGGCTAATGTTATCTCCGCCATTACTATTTTGTATTCTGCTTGATTGTTACTGGTTGAGAATTTGAAACTCAATAAGACTTTTATCATGAGTCCATAGTTGTTTTCTAGAATGACTCTTGCTCCGCCTCCACGACTGTTGGATGATCCATTTGTGAATACCACCCAAGTGCAGTATGATTTAGATGGTATGTTAGTCATCTACGCCAAGACGACGAATAGTTTGTTTTTAATGCCTTCCTTGCCGTAAAATATATTTTGAACTCAGAATTCTATTACCCATTTCTTCAATCTCCCGGTAAAGTCCAGTCGATAGAGCACATGTCTTAAGGGTAAATCTGTCTGACTCATTATGGAGTGTGCTAAGAAGTACCTTATGAGATTTCGTGACGCACCACTATGGCTAGAGAAGCTTTCTTATGAGATTTCGTGACGCACCACTTTGACAATGAGGCTGATGTTTTCTTGAAGGAACTCAATTAACACAAACCTTACCTCGAGGGAGGGTCCAAACCCGATCTTAACCGACCTTGCCGGATTTTTCCCAAGTTGCACAGACTCACACTCGCCGTCTAGGGTAGGTCTAACTTCACCTTTGCGCGCATCCAGGTCGAACTGATCACTGCTTCTTGACATTGGCGTTAGAATATTTTTGCGAATTATTCTCTTGATTCTCCTTGCTTCTTATAATTCTACAGTGACGGTAATCAGTATTCCTTTTTCGTCATGGTAGGTTATCTTCATGTGAATTGTAGAAGCGACTGCATCTAACCTTGCTAAGAAGGATCTTCCTAGAATAACTTTGAAGCGACTTTTGCACTATATCACGAGAAACATGAGAGTGACTCTTCTCTAATGTGTTCCTTCTTCAATCGACAACGTCAGATCTATCGCTCTACAAGGAAGAGTAACTGAATCGTTGAAGGCTAACTGATTTTCTCCGCCAAACGAATTTAGATATGTTTGCCTAAAACCTAGCGGTTCCAAAACGTCTTCATAAAGGACATTGTTAGAGATTTTTCCATCTACAAGAAGTCCTATCAAGGCTTGGTTGGCGTTAAAGACCACGATAATTAGCAATAGTTCGGAGTTTGAGATTCCGTCAATCTTTTGTCGATCTAGAAATCTTAATTTTGACCGATCAACTTGCCAAACTCGTGGATTGATGTCTAGCAAGAAGCAATCGGGAGACGATGAAGCATTGGATGTGTCAATGCTTTATGTTGATCGATGAAGATAGGTGAAAAATTAGATATGAAACGAAATCAGGTTTCTTGATCATCTCTAGAAGTTACCGCTTACACTTAATTCGTTCCCGGTATAGATGTTTCTTCAAATCGAGAACGACTTGTTCTTGATGTAAACGCGGTAATAAAAAATTGATTCTCACACACGACGCCACTGTTTTGATCTGGAACCAGTATAAGATGTAGTTCATTGATGAAGAATATTGAATGGACAATCTTAATCTCCAATGGCATCTTGATGAATTTCCGGGTGCGGCAGTAGAGGAGAGGGTGTCTACCTTCTAGACACTCCGATGCCTAAGTTAGTTCAATAATCCAAAAAAGAGTAATGAAAAGTGGGGGTTAGAAATCGTTCCTGAAATTGACGTGGAAGAGTATTTATACCTTGGACTGAGTATAATAAATCAATATAAATGTTGATTTTATGAATATTTTAAATATCACTTATCTAAGGTTATGATTAATCTTTACTTATGTTACATAATTTTTCTCTGTTCCATCAATTTTATAAAATTAAATCTATATTATTGAAATAAGGGTCAGGCTGACTCATCGGACCACATGGCCCATTAAAAACTAAAATTGATTCAATTTTGATAACCCATTAAATAATCAGGCCAATCTATTTCAGTCCATTTATAAGTTTTAGTCTACTGGACTAAAGCGAATTGGGCCGAACCGGCCCATTTGTCAACTCTAATCGTATTATTTATAGCTAACTTGATAAGTTCTATTAGGTTTTGTTTGCTTTGTTTAAGAGTTTGAAGAGGAGGAAAAAGAGAGTTTCGAAAAATGATTTTTTTAAAATATAAAGAAATCTTTAATATATTTTGAAAAAAGATTTTGTTTAGAATGATAAAATAGTGTTCATCATTAATATATTTTTAATTTTTAAAATACTATAACAATAAAAATTATATTTAAACAATTTGTTTAAATTCTCCAAAACTCTTCTCTAATATAAATTTTGAATTCTCTCATATTAGGAGTTTTTTGTGTTATGAATAAAAGCAAAATTCTTAAAAACCCTCCCAAACAAAATTATTCTATTCTTTTCACTAAATCCTTCTTATTTTTCATAAATTCACTTCACTTCCTCTCCAAACTCAAATAATACAATATTAAATGGTGGATATTCAGCTCGAGAGGATCTCAATCCGTAGTATTTTAAGTGGAGTGAGAAAGAGTTTAGGTGTAAATGCATGTAGCTAACTCACTAAACAAATGGAACATTAACCCAAGAAAAGCACATGGAGTCCTCATTTTTAATCTGTGACAAAGTTTGCGGTGGAAATACAACTCACTGAACGCATGAAAGCAACAAAAAACTTTTTGACAGCAAGAATAAGTGCAACTGAGACTAAAAGCTGTCTTTTATTTAAAGCAACAACATCAAGTTCTCATGCTTCCCAACCCCTAAGGACAGTAGCCCTTGCCACACGGTTAACTCCTAGACTGAATGCTCCCATTCGAAGATCACATTCATGAGTTTTGCACATGTCTTTCACATCTTTGAACCCCTTGGTCATGTAGTTTTTTAGCTCATTGTTCACTTTCTCCTCATCCCACATGAACCCTTGTATGTTCTGTGCATCACAAAAAATTACCACATAAACACAACAAAAATGAGATTATATATATATATATATATATATATATATATATATATATATATATATATATATATATATATATATATATATATATATATATATATATATATATATATATATATATATATATATATATATATATATATATATATATATATATATATATATATATATATATATATATATAAGGCACTGACGTACCGACACAAACATCTGACATAACATTGACATGACAAATAAACATCAGTACTAATTTAAAATATATATAGATACCGTATCGTTAAGTCTTCAATCCAAAACGTTGGTGCTACATAGATTATAACTCTTACGGGTGGCAAATGGGCAATGCCCACCCCATTTAGGCCCGCCTGCAAAATCCCACAAAAAAATAGGACGGGGCGGGCTTTGTAGAGGATGCATGCTTAAAACCTTACTCCGTCCCGGAAAAAAAATGTGTGGGACGGGGCCGGCCCGCGGCCATTCCATCTTTTAAGTCTAAAAATTGCAAATTTTCAAATTAATTTCCGTGCCCGCAAAAATCCGCAAAAAAATGGGACAAACATATTAGAGGTTGGACCTAAAACCTTGGCCCGCCCCATAAAGAAGTGCGGGAAAACAGGCATTGCCCAACGGTCATAAAAGATTCTATATGAAATCAGAGTTTGATTTTATAAATATATAAGTTACCTGAACCCACTCAAAGTAACTAACGGTAACACCTCCAGAATTTGCATATATGTCTGGGAGGATCACAACACCCTTTTTCTTTAGAATCTGCAAGTTAAGAAGGTAACATTGCATTAACTTCTTCATTCTAAACTTGTTTGAGAAAGAGAAGGAAAGAGAAAAAAGAATATGAAACTAACCTCATCAGCATCTGGATCAGTTGGGTGATTGGCAGCTTCTACTATAAATTTTGCCTTGATTTCATTTGCATTTTCCCTTCAACAATACCAAAAGAATAACAAAGTGAATTAGCCTTAGATCTTTCCTTTGTTATCATTCAAATTTACAATAGAAAAGCACCACCTGTTGATGACACCCCCGAGAGCTGCTGGGATTAAAACATCACAGTCTTCTAGCAGTATTGAGTTTGAATCAATTGAATCAGCACCATGAAATCCTTTTACTCCCTTGTTCTCTTTGGTATACTTGAGTAGGCTTGGGATGTCAATGCCTTTCTTGTTCTTTATGGCTCCAGTTATGTCACTCACAGCAACAATTTTTCCACCTTTTTCATCAATCAATTGTGCAGCCCAAGACCCTACATTTCCAAAACCCTGAAAAAAAATACACAACTTCGGATCAAATGCTAAATCCAAAAACTTCATTGAAATAGTTCTTAAATAAAACATGTAACCACAGGGTCTAACACAATTGATTGGCGCATTGCAGTTAT